GTATGTGTCAATCAAGATATATGCAAGAACAGGCTTAATGATTAACCAGATGGAACATTGTGGGTGTGATGTATGAATGTTAACACTTTTTAATAATTTTTTAGTATATTACTTGTGTGGTGTAGAAGAGAATTATTTATGTAGAGATACTGCTTGCAAACCAATGATGGTAAGATGATGTCATGGGGTAGGACTGGATAAGTCTGACTTCTTCCTACTCCATTCAAGCATGTACTAGATATAAGCAAATTGATATTGGATTTGCATTTGTTGGATATGTGTAAAATTATGTGTGTTGACATATCAACTGTCTTTACATGCTTGAAAGAATAAATCAAATCAAATCAAATCAACATAAAAGTTAAAAAGTCCAACAAGGAGGTTAGTCTTGTCATGTCTGACTTCCACCTATACATTTTTGTTAACCAATATTATTTTTATTTCCATATAAAGTGTAAGTTGTAAGAGTTTTATAGATCCAAACAGCTGATCTGGATGTTATCTCCCAATTAACCCAGTTAGAACAAACTGCACCTAGCAGAAGGTGCATTTTATTGATACATAATATAAGGAGTCCACATATGGGAAAAGGTTGAAGTGGATGAGTGAGCAACAAAACACAGAACTTTATACCAGGAGACAACAGTTCTCTTCCTGTTTAAATCTGAAAGTCAACATCATTGTTTTAGTTTTCAGTAGATCTTTAGTATTGTTGCTGCACAATAAAAAAATAATTAAGGCTGGTGTTTGTAAATGAGTTTATGTGCATCTTTAAACCTTAGGAGTCTTGGAATATATTTGGCTATTTTGGTTGACTTAAGTAGTTTTGAGTTTACCTTTATATGCCACTTGTAAATATGTTTGCCGTGCCAGTGTTTGGTATAAATTTCTTCAGCACAACCTCATTTTGTTTGACCTGACAATTATTTGTACATTCTGACATGCAGCATCAACATGTGTGATCATCGACTCCTGTTTTTTACGACAACTCACATCAGTCATTTTCCATTAAAGCATACAACAGATTTGTAATTGTCTCAGTAACTGTCTTCTCTGTCAGATCAATGACTTGAAGTTGATGGTTCAGGATCTCAATGGAAAGTTTAAGAAACCAGCTCTGAGGAAGGTGCGGATGTCAGCTGATGCCATGCTGGCCGCTCTGCTGGGCTCCAAACATAAAGTGTCCTTGGACCTGAGAGCCAACTTGAAACAGGTCAAGAAGGAGGTGAAAGAAGAGGTGTGTGCTTCTGATTTTATATTAAGCTTAGATAGAGAGTCGCAGCACTTAATTTTGAGTTAACTGATTCCTCTTGTTCCTCTGAGTTCATTGGTTATATCTCTGAAATCAAATGTTAATATCTGCAGCTTTGATAACAACATTGAACCTGTAAGAATACAAACATGACTTTAAGACTGAACAGGCTGTCACTGCAACTGAAAATCACCTTCCTGAAAACACAAAATAATAAGAGAATCTTACTTATTACACTTCACTCAGGACAAACAAACCGGCGACTGGAGGAAGATCATCAAAGACAAGGCCAGGATGGACAGCAGGAAGAAGATGTTTGAGACAGAGGCTTAAACAACAGCATGTTGTTTTGCTGTTTACCAGCATCTATCATTTCTGTGTATTATGTGAGTCCATGCTGTTGGTGAAATGATAGACTAAATTAATCATGTGGTGTTCTTCTGTGCTTCATGGTGGTAATTGAATAAATAATGAAACAGAAGGTGATTGTGACTGCTTCACATGGGTAATTCAAGATTAAACTGGTACTGTAGTGCTGAGTCAATGTTGGT